TATGGAAAATACACTTCTCTTGGTGCAAGGAAAAGTGTATTCTCATATCACTAATTGTTCATTAACTTTTCTGTGCCAAATTCTTTTTTTTATTTATAGGTGGTCCCACTACTTTTTTTTCATAGAAAATTTCAAACTTTTCCACATATGTAATTTCAAAAAAATAATATAATATAATATTTCTTTCTTTATTTTTTTTTAAGAAGTATCGGAATGAATTCCTTAAATTTGTACATGGTCACATATGGACAAAATCACATTGTACATTAAATATAATTTTTGGGTGCACTACTTTCTTAGACTTAAAAAGTTACTATTAGTTTTAAAAAAAAAAAAAACTAATAGCTACTCAAAGAGGTAATCAGAATATTATTACCAAACAGTGATAGCTCAGCTGGTGCATTAAAGTTGAGCAGTGGAAAGAAAAAAGACTTCAGTTTGATCCACAGATGCTACTTTTGAGAGGAGTTTAAAATCTTTATATCTGACTTGCCTCATACTCCAAATTAATCTCTTAGTCAGCTCAAAGAGTCGAAGCTTGTGAGGATACCAGGGAAAACCTACTCGCCTTAAAGAAGTAATTATGATATGTTTAAAAAAAAAAAAAATTACTATTACCCCTTTCTATGTTTTCCAGCGTCTACTCAGATTTTAAGTTCTTTACGTATCAAACAAAAATCATCAAAAATATTATCCTTATACGTACCAATTCAACCTTGCCCATGCAAGAATTATTCAATAAAGCTGTACAATAATTACTAATGTTTACATCTAACTTTGTAATCCGCCAAGACAATTCCTTAAAAAAAATTTATTTTTTTTCTTTAAATTACATATTATACTAAATGTTACAGACAATAATAAAGTTACAGATTTGTACTATTTTGTCTATAACTTTTATTATTCAGTCTGTAATTTTTAAAAAACTAATATAGTATTTCCTTTTTCTAAAGAAGTATCGAAATGAATCACTTGAGTTGTTTGTACATGGTCATATATGGACAAATTCACATATAATTATTGTACATTATATATCATTTTTAGTTCTACTACTCTCATAGATTTGAAGAGTTACAATTGCCTCTTTTCATGTTGTCCACCAGTGTCTACTCAGATTTTAAGTTCTTGACGTATCAAACGAAAATCATCACTATCGTTCATTATCCTTATACGTACCAATTCACCTCTTCCCATGCAAGAATTAATCAATTTTTTGATTATTCAACCTATGTGAGTAGCGGGAAGATATTATATCATAACTTAAAGTGACATGAACATGACATCGTAACTTTACAAAGGAATTGAACCACATGGGACTATGGTCCACCAGAAGCATATTGCAGGTTAGCAAGCAATCGAACTTTCGCTAACCAAAAAGTACAAAGAAGTTGCATTCAGAGAGCAACAGATATTTTAGCCTCCCTTCAAAATATCGAAAATACCATTAGGTGAATACAAATTCATCACTGTCATTCACACCTGGACAAATGGACTAGAAACAGTATAGTATAAGAACAAAAGCAGTATACCATTGTGTTATTTTCCAAAGGTCTTTGGTTTAATATGCTCCCAATTATGTGATTTGGTTATACATCATCCCAAGATGTTGCCCCAAGGCAACTGTAGTTGATTAGTGCATTGTTTTATTTTAGGAGATATTTGGTTGAGGAGAGATTTTTTATTATCCGGAAACCCCGATTTTTGGAAATATGATGAGAAAGTGAGTTTATTAAGAATGTTATCAAAAAGTTATTTGGTAGGCTAAAATATTTTCAGAAATATTAGGTTAATTTTCTTGATGCTATGTTTGGTTGATACAAATTTCGCATCTAATTTTTCATTTATCCATGAAACTCATAATACCAACCTCTGGGTGATATTTTTCAATAGTATTTTGGTGTAGGTTTTACACAACGGATTCCCGAGAAAATAACTTTCTTGAAAAAAAATTCTTAAACTGGCTACCAAACATGGTCTTCTAGGAAATCCACCATAATTTTTAAGTATCTAAACAGATTCTCGTACCAAACACCCTTTTCTCCTATCACGTGAAATAACTTATCTCTTGTGATTCAAAAACAATGTCATTTTGAGGTTGGGAAAAAAGTGATTTTACAAATCTAATTTATTTTGAGGCTATGTTAATCTTTATCATCATTATTTCTTTTTCCCCCAACTCCAAAACGATGACCTTTTTGGGATAACAGGATAAACATTAAACCCCTTATTTTATGGGTGAAAAAGGAAGCCACCATTTAGAAACGGGTTATGTTACTGTATGACTTGCAATTTCGACAAATTATTTTGGAGTAACATACAACAGAGTCCTATATATTTCACAGTTTCAAAATGTGTACAACTATACAACAACTACATTTGTAGGACAGCCACATCATATGACCGAAATAATAGTCAGTATACAAATTCATATACCAACATGTATGTAATAAAGGTTGCAGCTGTCAATACTTGCGAGAACCTTGAAGAGGCACTGATGTATATATCTTTGCATCTTTTCATTTTGATGTGGCTTTGGTTGAGTGAATAGAATTACAACACAAATAAGAGGCTGGCTAAGTGTTAACAATGACGCTAAAATTCACCTTACAGGAATATACAAAGTTATATATGGTGAACTCATATATAACATCAATGGCTTCAGCTAAATGATGTCAAAATGCATACCCTAACTTATACTCTACAGTGCTGGCATAATAGACAACTCTTAAACTGTCAGGAACCTGTCTGCAATGGGAGAAAAGACTCTTGCTTACCTTTGACGAAGATTGCAAGCTCTGTTGGTGCAACCACTAATCTTAACCACTTCTGTAGCTCTTCACCCTCAACTTTCTCCTTTTCTGAAGAATAAGCACTATTAGAACACCATGTTTAAGGCGAAATGGCGTGGTTCAACATCTTCAGTATCAATATACATGATGGAAGCAAACGATGTTAACATCCCAAGTTCATTAAAATCCCTTCACATGACCAATGTATTGATTTATAAGTTCAGGCTGGTGTGAAGTTCAAAACTCAAATCTATTCCCTACTTCTATTTGATTGGTTATGAAAGCCCAAAACCCAAGTCTACAATCTCATGAAACACCACATGCATTTACCGTGTATGGTAAAATGAACATTTCTCCACACCTCAAGCCCAAACAGCTCGTGTTAGGAGGTGCGCTACAATCATATCCAGATTTATGTACTTTAACGTTCATGCATACTTATCTTTTCATATTTTTAATAGCAAAGCCTTAACCTCAACATATCTATTACCCATTTGATTAAGTTGAAAGACATCACATGTATTCATTGCTAATGTTTGGCAATCATCACAGAACACTCCCTTAAATCACCCAACATTAAAAATAGATAGTACAATTATTACCTTCCAAATAAGCACCAAGCCCCTCCAAAACAGTAGGATTAGCTCGTATAATGGAAAGTGCTACAGCCAGTGCAGACTGCAATAATGTTTGCACCTCTCTTTGAACAAGATCAACAAGATGTCCCTGTTGAGGTTAGACTAAAATCAGCATATGGAAGAAATTGAAAAGGAATAAAAAGTTAACGAATTGTAGGACCTGATCCCTTCCCCAAGGAGATGCTCCCCCAGACTCATCAATTCCACCACTAGAAAGAGTGGCTATTGACACAGGGCCTATGGTCTGATTAAGACCATACTCAGCTATAGCCTTGTATGCCATGTCAGTTGCTCGTCGTATGTCATCAAGTGCACCTGTCGACACTCGACCAGAATAAACAACTTCTTCAGCTGCACGTCCTCCGAGAAGGGTCACCAGGCGACCATACAACTCATCGATGAATAACAAGTATCTATCCTCATTTGTTGGAGGAGTGTATGTAAAGCCCAAAGCCCCTCCTGACCTTGGCAATATGCTTAGTTTCTGACAACATACACAAGATATTAAGGCATGGAATCATCCTTAAATCATATAATGACAAAAGATGAAAAACAGAGATTTCCAAGATACAGCTTATATATGGAAATTATACAAGTAGGCTGCAACTTCTAAAGAGAAATTTTAACAATTGCGGGTGAAAGTAGTCATTCACTAATAATATGATAATCTATAAACAAAACGAAGCACAGCCTACAGTATATAAGATGCTTTGCTTGCAGAAGTCTCTTATCTCAGACTTCTCTTGTTTGTATTATGAATATTACCCATAAGAAATTTATACATTCACCAACCGTACTTTCATTTTCCAACATCAATGATACAAAAATGAATAAGTTAACCACCTCATCTCCACCCCCCCCCCAAAAAAAAAAAAAAACAACAACACAAAACAACCAATAAATTAAGAATCCCAAAAGCAGAGCCTATATGAACTCAAAATTATCAACCATAAGAGTAATTTTTAACATAAATACAGCTTATAGCAAGTGAATTCTAAAAATTCAAGTAGACAAGTACATGTCATACAAGCTCAATCCGCATAACTGTAATGGCAGTGGCATCTGTAGCAAATAATAGAAAGTCTTCAATGGTTTACCTCAACACGTGGCTGTCCAGAAAGAAGCTTTGCAACTGCAGTACCTACTACTGCATGACCAGCCTCATGTCGTGCAACTACACCCTTCTCATTTCCTTGCAACTTGGCAGTCTTCTTCTCTATGCCCTAAAACAAGTAATTTGGTTTATATTCACCACAACTGATTGCAAAAATGAAATTTTCAATTTTACATTTTGTCATTTGACAGTTAGAAAAATCTGACCAAACTACATCTGTAAACTGTAAAGTGTATAAACAATTAAATTCATTAAGAAACATTCAAGTGTATTAAAAGAACTGACGGTCTAGAGTCTGGTCATGTTAGTTGTTAATGGAATACAAGTTAGAAAATCAGACAAATAGGCAAATACTGCTTTTATCCATTCGATACTTCCGATGTCCAACTGTTCCAGTAAGGTACAATACACCAACTAATTTGAGTCAATTACAGAGCAACATGAGTGAGTGTGACTTACAGCTATTGATCTTTCTACAGCGTGGATGAAATCAATTTTCTCCACCACAACTTTATTTTGTCTTCCAGCCAGTAAAGCAGCCTCATTTACAAGGTTTGCAAGATCTGCTCTGTAACGATGTAACATGTGAAAGATCCAAATCCCAATCTCTATGTATTCAAAGAAAAGAAAAAAAGAGATTATTGAAAGACAAAAAAAACACAATTACCCCGTGAAACCCGTGGTCATACAAGCAATGTCACCAAGGACAACATCCTTGGCTAAAGGAAGTTCTTTCTTGGAGACATGAACTTTTAGGATGGCTTCTCTTCCAATCCTATCAGGAGTTTCCACCTAAGAAGAATTTGCGGGGAGTTTGTTAATATGCAAAGTAAAGTTTTTTTTTTTTTTTTTAATATCAGTATTAAAACCAAAAGAGGTAATGTATTAAAACTATAGAATGCAGACCATAACTACACGATCAAATCTTCCTGGACGGCGAAGTGCAGGGTCCAAGACATCTGATCTATTAGTAGCTCCAAGAACAATCACTGCAGAATTGCTGTCAAACCCATCCATCTCCTGCAATGCAACTTTAACAAATTAGCCTCAATGGGGTAGTTTTTTTTTCACAAAAAAAAAAAAAAAAAAAAAATCGCAAGAGACACATAATGTTAAAGGAATGCTAACCGTGAGCAACTGATTCAAGGTTTGCTCTCGTTCGTCATTGCTGACAATGCGAAATTTACCATCACGACTTTTAGCCACTGCATCTATCTGCATTCCAAAAGAAACTCTGATTGTTTTAATATTAAATAATTGATGTTGAACTGAATCATCCCACACAACAAGAGAATACAATATTTTAGACCTCATCAATAAATATTATGGATGGTGCTTCCTTTTTTGCCCTTGCAAAGAGATCTCTTACACGGGAGGCACCCATGCCAACATACAACTCTACAAACTCACTAGCGGAACAACTTATAAATGGCACATCAGCTTCCCCAGCCACAGCCTTCGCTAGTAGAGTCTTACCTGTCCCAGGAAGACCAACCTGTAGGATAAACCAGTAGAAAATAATCAACTATAAAATAATATTAAAAATCATCAAACCACACGATCTACTAGCTCAAAAAAGCAGAAAAGGCATAAGTGATTTATTCCTAGAACTACCTGTGCCATGCACCCAATTAGTAAAAAACAGTATCGGTCCAGTTTATTACAAGCTAATAATTACTTAAATATAAGAACTGCTCATATAACAACACAATAGGCAAATATGCTGAATTTTAGATCAAGAGATCCCCCATCAACATTTAACACATTTGACCCCTTCCAGGCAATTATCCACAACTACAACGAATTGGCTAACACAACATCATATGGTTTCATCCTAGGATCATGAGGACAATATTTATCAGATACCTCCAGCTTGAACTCACCAAGAGAACACCTCGAGGAGGACGAGCACCAAGTCTTATGTATTTGTCTGGATTTCGAAGAAATTCCTGGCAAGTGAACATCAGCATAATCAAAACTAATTCCCTGTATCACCAGAACTCAAAATAAAAATATAAGATTAAGCTGTACAATAAAAAGCCTCGAAAACACCCTGTATATTGTAATGCTAAAATGACAAGAAAGAGAGTCCAGCTTACCACAATCTCTTCTAACTCCTCTTTAGCCTCATCAACACCAGCAATATCAGCAAAAGTGATTGTTTCACCTTGTTCAGATGACTTAGTACCAGCAGAAGTTCCTGATTTGCGGTTCCGAATTTGACCAGCTGTATGCTGCACACAGGATACCATTTAGAAAAATGTACTGTTTTAAAGCTGTAGGAAACATAAGTTGAATAAGAAGGCCCAAAGTGTTAAGATGGACCAAGAATGCAAACTCACACCTGAGAGAAGCTAACAGGGAATCGATGGAGAAGCCCGGCAAGCACGGCAGCATAAAACATGGCTATCTGCAAATATGAGAATGAAGCCAGCATACCTTGTTATATATGGTATCTACCCCAACAACCTAGGAAATTTATAACCTATTAGAATAAGAAAATGAATATTTTGAACTAGGGGTGTATATAGGCTAGGTAGTCTATGAGGATCCTACAACTCATCCTATATTAGGTCAGGCCAGTATATCAGTTAAATAGAACAGGCTTAGGCCTTAAAAAAGCTCGTTTTAAAATACAAGTCATAGGCCTTCTTCTACAAAGCCTGGCCTATATACTTACATGCCGGCTTATATAATATTCTTTATTTTAAATAAAATAAAATTGTTTGAGAAATATGATATATAATATAAGACCATTAATGTGTTTTCACCTAACTGTTTAAGCTTTTGGGTTGAAATGGTTCTTTATACGGTATCAAAGCCTATGTGACCGTGTTATGAGTTCAATCATCACCACCCTCATTATATTAATACATAATTAAATATTGTGAAGTTTCTAAGCATAAGTAGATGGACCTATATATTGTCCACCTTTCAAACCAATGGCTTTCGTGTGAGGGGGTATGTTTAATAAATATGATATAAAATATAAGACCATTAATGTGCCTTCACCTAACAGTTTAAACTTTCGATTGAAATGGTTCTTTACAAAAATTATTATTTGATTAACTTTAAATAATAAAATAAAAGGGTTTGGTGTTTGTCATTTTAAATGACATAAGTTATGTCATTTTAGGAGAGAGATAAACACAAAAAAATAGAAATCATGGGAGAGAGAAAGTGGGTATTTTTTTAATTTAAAATTTAAATAAAAAAAAAATTGTGTCTATCTCTCTCTTAAAATGACATAACTTTATGTCATTTACAATGACAAATACTTTTCTCTAAAATAATATTATTTTAGTTATTTTTTTCTAAATCTTGATAGGTTTTGAAGGCATGGTAGGCATAAATAGATTAGCAGGTCTTGGCCAGGCCTTTTTATCTTTAAATATAGGTCAAGTCAAGCCTATCATTTAGTCTATACCAAGCTAATAAGTCAGGCCAATTTCAAAATATTTTACAAAGCTCACCCTATTTACACCCCTATTTTAAACCAAGGATACATTAAAGAAGATTCCTTGCAATTAATAAAAATGAATTAATAATATACATACTTTAACAAATCAAATGAACATACAAATGAGGGCTTGATATTTATTTCGCATTAATGTCATACTAGTGGGGAAAAAAAAGTAACCAGATCCCAAACTACAACATGGCATATTTAACAAATTTTAAAAGGTTTTTTGTTACTGTGTGCAGATTCACCTCATGAAGGCACTAAAAAAATTAGCTTCTATTAAACAATCAAAGTATTCTATTCTTCAGGAAATTATTACTTCAAATTGGGTATTATGTCCTTCTGAAAATTATCCTTCTTAAATAGCATAAGGTTTTATAAGGGATGGGGGCTGCATCCAAGTTTCTAATGGCCACTCACGAAGTAGGAAATACTTAAGTTCATTGCCTCTAGTCCCGCTCCTTCATCATAGCTATTGATATTGAGCATTCTCAGAGTTTTAAAGAATTGATTAAAAGATTTCGTAGTCTGAGAAAGAACCATAATTCTTAATCCTCTTTAAGGTAAACAAAGTTTATTCAAATAAATGAACATACTGCAATGAGAACAGTAAACTTCAGATCACCAGCCTACTCCCAAACATAAGGTAAAAGGGCTAAAAGTACGGTGACACCCTTGATTATCCATTTTCAGCATCAAACTCCTCACACTTCAAAGTAAATTCAGTTGAGATATAACTTATATCAAAAAAATTCAGCACCAAACTAATAAAGCTAGATTGCTAGTTAAGTTATCAACTTCATATAGCTCTAAAATCACACACAAATGCTGCAACATGCTTACCAGTGCAGAGTTAAAGAACCCACCAGAACGTCTATCTGGGGATCCAAACTCCACCTCATTATCCAGCATCTTTTCATAAGGAGTTCTGATATCACCTGGCCTTGTGGTAGTGTAAACTATCCTCTTGGTTGGGGCAATACTCTTCACCAAAGACTCTGATTCCTGCAACCTACTACTACTACTCCCTGAAACTTCACCATCATGGCTGGTTCCAACACCAGCCTTCAACTTGAACATGATGTGGACCCCATCAACCTCCACCTTCTGCACCTGGTTACTGTTGATTCTACTCAAGAACTCACTGTAAGGCACACTCACAAACGTTGTCGGAGCCCTAGGATCCGACCCGGGTAGCCGAATCCCGGGTCGGAGCAACCGCATAACGAAAACCATAATCCCCAATTGCAAAAGCAAAACCCCAATTTGCTGCGCCTGAACTATCGGCTGCCACCGCCGCCGCCACCAACCACCCCTTCCCTGCTTCTCCCTCTTCCGGTCCGAACCGGAGCTCGGAGAACCGGCATCATCGACCTCCTGACCGTCGCCGGTTTTTTTCTCACCGGAACCCGCGGCCGAATCGTTCTCTCTGGTTGAACCACATACCCATCTTCTGGGTCCATGGCCCTTCCACAAACCGAACATCTGTGAATCGTTGTACGAAATTGGACATCGTAAATGATACGAAATGGGAGTAGAACGACAGGGACTGTTGTTGTGGAGAAGGGAAACCCTAGAATTTGTGCCGGAAAATCGAAATGGCCATTGTTGGTGATAATTGAGATAGGTTTTACATTTGGTGTGGGTTAAGGGAGATAGATAGTGATAGTGATATTGATAGTTACAGTGATACTCCAAGGTTGACATTAGAGAGACCCAGAAAGGAAAAATCGAAACTTGAATGTGGGGTTTGGTGTTATTGGATTGCAGAGTAGCATCAATGGTGGCTGAGGAAGAGAGAGAACGAAGAGAGACAAGGTGATGCCGCAGCGAATCAGAGCCGTCGGATTAAGCAAGAAGCCGGAATATTTCAGCCGTCGATTTCTGGTTTCGTTACACTCGTGTAATCGTGTTTGTTTTGTTTTTTCTCTTTCAGTTTTTTTTATCCATTAGTTTGTTGCAATTTGATACCCATGCTCCATGCACTACACGGGATTACGTGTTTCAGAATGATTCTTTCAAGGAATCGGTGTTTATCATGTTATATAAATTAATTTTATCTTCTCTACGTATATTTTCAGAGAAATATATTTTAAGAGAAATACAAGGGTCATGTTATATGAAAAATTTTCACTTTCCTACACACTTAATATAGCTTGGGACTCATTTCAACTTTTTTTGCTTTTTTACTATACAATGGAGCCCACAGTGTTTTTGTGTCTGTAACATGACACAAATGGTGTCATGTTACATAACAAACTATTATCCCATATTTTAATTATTTCAGAAATATCAATCTCTTCTTTTAAATAAAAAGTTTTGTTCTTTCTTCCTTTTAAAGAATAAAAATAAAAGAAAAATATTATCTCATTCTAAAATAAAAATATTCCATTGGTCCAAGATTTACAATGATCTACGTGCGCTCATACTCATACAAGTCTAAAGTTTGATAGGAATTGAAATAAACATATATACATGTAATTTAGTTGGTATTAGGGAATTGAGCAGATCGCTGAATGCCACAAATGGCCCAACGCCACAGTGGCCAATAGCCTAAGCCCAAGACCCTTAGCTACATCCACGTCAGCCCCACCAGTTCACCAGCACCCGAGGAAGTGCTATTTCCCAAGAGATACATCAACATATCTCATCTTGGGACCCCAACCCCTGGAGACTGCCCCAGACACCATAAGTGAAAACCGCCCCTCTTCGCGCGCTCACATCGCCAAGCGCAGGAGCTGCATCACTGCTATGATGACAATGTCAGCCTTCCCCAACGAATCTCAAAGAGAGTTGACCCCCGCTCACCAACCCCCAGAAGATGGACATCAAGATCTCTATATAAAGCCCCTCCATAGACAAGGAGGGCATCTTATGTATTGTTGTTGAATCCATTTACTTACGGTCTCACAAACACACACCCTAACCTCATTGTTATCTTCCTTGTAAACTTGGGACATTATCTTCCAGCTAGGTCATTACCTTACTTTGGAGATACAACCCATAAAGTGACTCAATCCCTTAAGAGAACATAGTGGGCTTATAGATTTCAACGGTACACATATATACATGTAATTTAGTTGGTATTAGGGAATTGAGCAGATAGAGGAGAAAGTATAAACATGTATTCGATCTTTTTTCAGTACTGTCTTCATATATTTAATATTTCTCAGTATTATTTTTAAGAGAGATTTAAAGTATTAATCATAGAATTCGTCCCAAATCAGACTAGTCACAAAATAATGAATCAATTAGAATATCTATGGAAAAAAAAATTGATTGGAAATATGTTGCAAATAGGGTCAAAGTTAACATTAAACCGAGATTAGTCACATAAATAAAAGGATAGAAAGCAAATAGTGATCTCTAAAAAAATAAATAAAATACGCTAATACTTTTAAATTACTTAACCAAAAAATTATTAGAAACGGAAGTTGAACTATACTTTAAAAATGAAGAAATGATATTCTTACAAATTATATCGACCCAATTTTATCTTTATAAACGGAAAATATATTGATATAAATAACGTGAATTATAAATACAATTTTGATCGTTCATAAAAATAAAAATAAAAAAACAAAAAGTGACATTAGAGAGACCACAGACTTGCCGCATCTTGGTTTTGACTTGTGATTATTTTCAACAAACAAATACCAATGGCCTTATTTATCGGCTTCAAATAATCTCCCTCACAATCCCATTACCTCATGTACTAAAACATGGTGCTCATTTACAATTTAGCAAAACTTGTTGCGCTTGTTGAAACTTGAAACTAATAGCCATTGGTGGAACAAAACATTGTTTCACCAATAACAAGCAATTTTACAACTATAATCTTAATGTTCTATGAGGACCAAGAAGCCTATTTGTTATTTGAAATACCATAACAGAAGTTGCTGTCATTCGCAGCTTAATGATATATTAAATTGGGTCTATTATATAGACCAAGATTTACAATTGATCAGGAAATCAGCTAAACCTAAGGAACAGAAAGCATAAATCAAGCTAATCTATTTACATCAGGAAATCAGCTAAACTTAAGGAACAGAAAGCATAAATCAAGCTAATCTATTTACATCAGGAAATCAGCTAAAACTAAGGAACAGAAAGCATAAATCAAGCTAATCTATTTTAATATACAAGGTAACAAACCGTGATAGTTACAATCAGGATCCTAACAAATTAATGCTACTCTAATACTCCCCCTCAAGGTGGAGCATGGAGGGAGGAGATGCCCAACTTGGAAGTCAAAAAATCGAATTGTTTGGATCCAAGTGCTTTGGTCATAATATCTGCGGGTTGAGAACTAGTGGGGATATGTTGAGTAGAAATAGTCTTGCTGAGAAGATAGTCCCGAACAAAATGGCAATCTAACTCGATATGCTTGGTACGCTCATGGAACACTGGATTAGAAGCAATATGAATAGCAGACTGACTGTCACAAAACAGTTGCATAGGGGCTGCATGAGGAATATCAAGAGAGCTGAGAAAAGACTTTAACCAAATAAGCTCAGAAGTCGCAGCTGCCATGGCACGGTATTCAGCTTCAGCAGAGGAGCGGGATATTGTGTTTTGCTTCTTGGTTTTCCAAGAAATAGGAGAATGTCCAAGAGTAACAAAATAACCAGTGACTGATTTTCGAGTCAAGGGACAACTAGCCCAATCCGAATCACAATAGGCACGAAGAAGAAGATCACTGTCAGATCGAAGAAGGAGTCCTTGGCCAGGATTGGACTTAATGTACCGAAGAACACGAATAGCCGCATCGTAATGTATCTGCATAGGATGCTGCAAAAACTGAGAAAGTGTGTGAACTGCATAACTAAGTTCTGGTCGTGTAATCGTGAGATATACAAGACGGCCAACAATACGTCTATAACGTTTAGGATCATCAAACGGAGGTCCTTCAGCAAGAGCAAGCTTGTGATTGGGATCCATAGGATAAGCAACCGGTTTACAACTTTGAAGTCCACATTCCTTAAGAATATCCAAAGCAAATTTGCGTTGAGTAAGAAACAAACCGGTCTTGCTTCGAGCAAATTCAATGCCAAGAAAATACTTGAGGGGACCAAGATCTTTGATTTTAAACCAGGTTTGTAAATGAGCTTTGACACGGTCACAGAGAGAAGGATCACTACCTGCCAACAAAATATCATCTACATAGACAAGTATAGCAACATAATGGGAACCAGTCGAGTAAGTGAACAACGTATAATCAGCACGAGACTGAACAAAGCCGAAACTGAGGAGAGAACTACGAAGCTTAGCAAACCAATTTCGTGGGGATTGCTTGAGACCATAAAGTGAACGTTGAAGCTTACAGGCGTGACCAGACTTGGTTTGGGAGAAACCGGGAGGAAAACGCATAAAGACTTCTTCATCCAAATCGCCATGGAGAAAGGCATTTTGAACATCCAGCTGAAAAATGCTCCATTTTCGAGCTACAGCTACAGATAAAAATGTACGCACACTTGTCATTTTAGCCACCGGTGCAAAAGTCTCAGTGTAATCTTCTCCTTCGATCTGATTGTTCCCAGCAATAACCAGACGCGCTTTATAGCGTTCAATGGTTCCATCAGAATTGTACTTGATGCGGTACACCCACTTACATGGAATAGCTTTCTTACCAGAAGGGAGAGGTTGAATTTGCCAAGTATGATTGGCTTCCAATGCATCAATTTCGGCTTGCATGGCTTTCTGCCAATGAGGATATTGCATAGCCTCTTTAAATGATTTGGGTTCCAGGTTACTATCCACGGCGGCAAGAAAAATCTGATGGTGCGAAGAAAATAATGCATTAGAAACATAATGATCAATGGAATATTGAATACCTGAGTCGATTGGAGAAGTGGAGAGACGAGGAAAGGGTGTAGTCATTGTGTTGCATACATAATCCTTTAAATGAGATGGGGGACGTCTGGCACGCTGTTCACGAATATCTGCCACAGATGCAGTGTTGGGTTCTGTCAACGGAACCGGTGAACCAGGGACATCCGTGGATGAAGTAATAGAACCCGGAACTGGGGAGGACGAACTCCCCCTGTCATCAAGCTCCGCTGTGGGAGTATCAATAGCAGTAACAGGTGCCACATCATAATCGGTGAAGACAGCTTGTGGTGACGGTACATGGACAGAAGGTGCAGATGAAGTTGCAGCCAATGGAAAAATAGTTTCATGAAATAAAACATCACGAGAAACAAATATTTCATGAGTGGAGATATCCATGACCTTCCATCCTTTTTTGTTGAAAGGGTAGCCAACAAACACACACTTACGGGAGCGAAGAGCGAACTTGTCATGTGGTTTGGGTAAAACAGTAGTGTAACATAAACTCCCAAAGACCCGTAAGTGATCATACTTTGGTGGAGTGCCATGCAAAACTTCATAGGGACACTGACCACCAAGGAGTGGAGTCGGTGTCCTGTTGATGAGGTGAGCAGCGGTCAAGATGCATTCTCCCCAAAGAGATATAGGTAAGTGACCATCAAAACGCAAAGCACGAGCCACGTTGAGGATGTGACGATGACGACGTTCAACGCGTCCATTTTGCTGTGGGGTGTAAGTGCATGATAATTGATGATGAATACCGTAGGATGAGAGAGCCTCTTGGACTACAGATGACAAAAATTCAGTCCCATTATCACTCTGAATTCGCTTAACAGATGCATCATATTGGGTGCGAACCAAGTGGAGAAACCGAAGTAAACATGTGGAAGTTTCAGTTTTATTGCGCATCAAAAAAATCCAAACATGTCTACTAAAATCATCGACTACAGTTAAAAAATAGCGGGCACCAGTTGTAGATGCCATATGATATGGCCCCCATATATCACAGTGAAGTAAATCAAAAGGATGTAAACAACGTTTATTATTAATAGGAAAAGGACTTCGTGGTTGTTTGGCTTTACAACAAACGTCACAAGGAGCCAAATTATTTGCATTGGAAATAAAAGGTAACAAAGATAAATAACGGGAAGATGGATGTCCTAGACGACGATGCCATAGTGCTGCAGAATCTGACGTACTGGCAACATGAGCAGAAGCTGATGATGCACACAATATATACACCCCTTCTCGTTCAACACCCGTTCCAATCGTCCTCTTCTGCTTTAGGTCCTGTATCAAACAAACAGAATTAACAAACAATGCCAAGCAAGACTGGCGCAGAAGCTGAGATACAGAAATCAAATTACAAGCCAACGAAGGGACATAAAGAACATTGGAGAGATGAAGAGAAGAGCCCAAAGTAATGCTGCCACATTGCGTAGCAATATCATGAACTCCATTCGGCAGTCCCACAGAACAAGGAGAAATAGAATGCACATTGGATAGATAGGAGAGTGTGCCCGTCATGTGTTGGGATGCACCACTGTCGATGATCCAAGATGGGTGCAGGTAAAAGGGTGACTTAGAATCAGAAACCTTGAAGGTTTTAGGTGCGGAAGTCATGATGAAAAAAAAAAAAAAAATGAAGGCTTGTTGATCGTCAAGCTCTTGATACCATAACAGAAGTTGCTGTCATTCGCAGCTTAATGATATATTAAATTGGGTCTATTATATAGACCAAGATTTACAATTGATCAGGAAATCAGCTAAACCTAAGGAACAGAAAGCATAAATCAAGCTAATCTATTTACATCAGGAAATCAGCTAAACTTAAGGAACAGAAAGCATAAATCAAGCTAATCTATTTACATCAGGAAATCAGCTAAAACTAAGGAACAGAAAGCATAAATCAAGCTAATCTATTTTAATATACAAGGTAACAAACCGTGATAGTTACAATCAGGATCCTAACAAATTAATGCTACTCTAATATACCATTTTATCAAAGTTATTTCAATGTTTATAACCCAGTAATGATCAAATTCTTGCTTTTCTAGAAAAGGGTGTGAAGAACATTTATTCATGTATAAACTAACAAACGGTTAATACTAAATAGTGTACAGTATATTTTTTGTTCATTTGTGTGTGTGTGTGTGTTTGAATTATTTTATTTCATATTCAAAATAACTCATAATTAAAACTTTGCTAAATGAGATTTCAAAAAGAATAAAATAAAAAGCAAGTTAAAAATAGTATAAACTGTGTAATATTAATGAATGTGACTTTGACTATTGAAACTGATTTTTTTAATTTTTTATCCATTTTTTTCCCTTTGTGCAAAGTAAAACTCCTGAATATGAGGATCCTATGAAATTTTCAGCCAGACAAATAGTCTCCTTAAAAAAGACAAACTAAATTATCATTAGGTCACAATGGCTAACCATTTGTTGGGGAATATCAAACATTTGTTTGTTGCTGACCACCACCATTTGGGGAGCTAGTTGACCTTGTTTTTCTCTTTTACTCCTTTAGTTTTTCAATTTTCTGGATGGTTTCTATGAACCTATACCAAATCATATCAATGATGCATTTTGGTTATCCATCATTGTTCTCCTAGTCTGTTCTTCATCAGTTACATAACAGCTTCCTTTCAAAAGCCAAGTCTGAGTGTTCATATATCTTTTTTCCTTGGCTTAAAACCACATTTTCTTTATATATTTATTCAATGGGGTTGCATGTCACCTATGAATCACTGTGATGATTATGGTTACTTGTTTGAATCTAGTAATGAATAAAATGTCCACAGAGTTTGGTTGTGACTTGTGACAAAAACATTACACCACAAGCTTGGAAGCATTTTAGTTTGTTCTAAGAGACAAAGATGGGTTTGAATGTGAAGGACATTCAACTTCGTTTGTGCAAAGTGGTTCAGCTTTCATCTGAGTCTAGTTACACATTTCTACAAAAGCATCCATTGGTTTCAGGTGCTTTGTTGGTCTGCTTCATCCTATATATATTCCTCTCTTATATTTATAGCTTCTTTGTTTATATGTCCCCTTTTCTTTTGTGTGGTGCTATTTTTATAAGAATCTTTTGGAGTTCTGAGCAAACTCAGCTCAGATATGTCAAAAAGGAGAAGGAAAAAGGAGAGCAGAAAAGGGTTGAAACAAAGTGTCCAGAGATACCAAACAATGGAAGACAATTGCTTTATAAGTATCCATCACAGAATGCCACAAGTAGGAGGAGAAATTTTACAGGCAAGAAATGGGATGTATATGGTGGTTTAGAAGAAAAAGCCAAGGATTTATCAGCAGTTTTCCATAATGAGTTCACTAAAAGAACCACAGAGAAAGGAGAGAGTTCTTTGAATTATGGATTGTCAGCAAAAAGGTTTCAGGCTCCTAAAAGGCAAACCTTAAGATCTGAACCTTCAATGGTTGACCTTGTTGAGTATGGTGGTTCAGAGATAGATTCAGAAAAGATGGAGAATGGAGATGATGAGGATGAGGAAGAAGCACAAGAGGATAGGAACAAAGCTATTGAATGGACAGAAGATGATCAAAAAAACCTTATGGATCTTGGGGTTTCAGAGATGGAGAGAAACAGAAGGCTGGAGATTCTCATAGCCAGAAGAAGAGCAAGAAAACTATTGAAGCCACATCTTTATAATGGTCTAAATGATAAAAAATCAATTACACGAAGTCATATTGCACCAGTGCTTACCAGAAGAGGCAATCTTTTTGATTCTCCAAAGGACTTTGAAGGGTTTGATGACTTAGAAATGCCTGGTTCTGCCCCATCTATGATTCCAAAAAGTCCATATGATATTCCCTATGATCCTTCTGAGGAGAAACCCAACCTCACTGGAGACAGTTTCCTTCAAGAATTTACATGTCAACAGAAGGACATGCCATTCTGCAGACATGAAAGCTTCAGTTTAGGACCCCTTTTCCCATCAGAAACCAAACAAGATCATGAAGTTAGAGAGCCTTATTCCTCTAATAATGGGAGGAACAGGCCTGCATACTCAAGATTCAGAAGGATTCCAGGTGACAGCCACTTTCTCCTCCTCTCTCTCTCTCTCTCTCTCCCTCTCTCTCTCTCAGACTAAATAACAAAAGAGGAAAAATAAAACAAAACTCCCATTAAACTCCGACTAGCGAGGGTAAGGATGAGGGCAATCATTATACACAGCATTTTCCTTGCATGATTTTGCAAAGAGATTATTTCTCAAATTTGAATCTGTGACCTTTCAGTCACAAAGGAGGAGCTTTACCGCGGCTCCATGCTAGCCCAAAAAAGAAAAAGAAATAAAATAAAATTGATGATTATGAAACTGAATATGTTTTGCTAATGCAGATAAGGGAAATCATGACTGGCTAATTGACACGTTGAACTACAATGAAGGTGGTGAAAGTGGACTTCAAGCACCCAATTCACTAAGAAAAGGAGAGGAAACAACACAAGAAGAGGATGGAAAATGTAAAGCTGATATGGCTGAAGTGAAAGATGAGAAAGTGGAGAATGCTCATGAAACAAAATCCATGTCAGATCAGGCAAGTGATCCAAGCTTAGTTCCAAACATCTCAAATGTTCCAACAGCTAGAGTTCCAAGGTTTCCTACCCCTCATGAGAAGCTCCTCAAGTTACCATTTCCTACTACTACAAATGAATCTATGCTTGACACAATTCCATCTCTAGCTGATAAGAGACAAGAAAATATGTTTTTAACCGATAGGCGCCTTTGTCACACCCCAACATATTCCATAGCTTCTGATTTACAAGTGGAGGTTTCTGACGTTGGTTCACTAGCATCAACAGTTGATGAAGTTGGTGAAACCAATTCATCCACTGATAGAGAATCTGTAGAATATGATGGGGACATTGATAGAGATGTTAGTTCTGGCAGTGAAGAGTTGTGGGGAGCCTCCTTCCATGGAAGAGGAGAAGCGCATGGAGTTAGAAATGAGGAGGAAATTGCAGAAGTAAATAACAACTCAAAGGATATTGTTTCAACACTCCTTACTCTAAGACAAATAGATGAAGAAAATGTAGCTGATGTGAGCTCATTGTCCTCAAGATCTGATATGCCTGAAGATACTCCAACTTGTGCAATAAATAGTGCTCATAACATCTTTGGTTATATGAAATATACTGTGGGGGAAACTGAAGCGCCCCAATCTTCCCTTTCTTCTTATACTGTGGATCAGTTTCCTAATGAAATACAATCAGAACAACCGGAGGTGAGTTCTTTTGGTGCTATTTTGTAATAACATTAAGGGCGAGCCTTGGAGCAGCAGTAAAGTTGCTCCTTGTGACCAGAAAGTCACGGGTTCGAGTCTGGAAAACAGTCTCTTTGCAAAAATGTAAAGGTAAAACTGCATACAATTTATCCTCACCCCTACCCTCGCAAGTTGAGGAGCCTTCTACACCGGGTTTGCCCCTTTTTTATGTAGTAACATTGTCAGTTAGCCTAATTATCAGACAAATTAAAACTTAACTGGTTCAAAGAGTGAAATTATGATTTGTGAATTAATGTATGAACAAATTATATATGCCACTCTAAGTTTGCAAGATCAATCATTTCATTTTGATTGCTTCCTTCAATTAAAGGTGAAGTGCGGAGGACAAGAATATCCTTTCAAACAGTTAAACAGACATTTATTTGCAAGGGAATGGGACTATGATGTGAATTCATATATGAAGAAATTATGTCACTATATTTGCAAGTATCATTTCAGTTTGCTTGCTTGCTTACATAGAAGGTAATGAGGGGAGGACAAGAATATCCTTCTCATTTTTTACAACTTTTGTTGTTCAACAGGAATGGTCCAACATGTCAGAGAATTTAATAAATGAGGCACATGTTACCAATGATGTGAATAACTCAGCAGCCACAGAACAAGATAACACAGAGAACTCAAGAACTAATGAAGATCCTGGCATATCAGTTGTGAGGCAAGAATCAATTGATGAATCTTCTATCCACTCAATTTCATCATCACCAAGATCTGTATTACCAGAGAAGACCATAGCAGATGGAATTACATCATCAGCTTATGATCAAGAGATGAATATAGATGCTGAGCAATCTAACATGGAGGATATGACCCAAGAAACTTTAAATGGTGAACGTCCACCTGACATCTTGCCTCAAAATATTCAGTCTTTGATGGATGATACAAATGATGAATCACAAAATGTTGACCTCAATCATTCTCGGGTATGAATTCTGGGGGGGCAAAATGTTCATTTCTTTTTTATCCATATTATAAACTTCATAAATCAATTACATATATAAGAGCTTCAATAATAGTGGAGAACAAGGTTACTCCTATTCCTAAAGGCTTTGGTACATGATAATCAACTTACACTTCGATTATTCTTACACTCATTTTTAGTCATTAATCTCATTTGCACTTAATGACTTTAATATAAGTGAGATCAACCACTAATAATAGACTTATTAGACCTACACTTTTATATAGAGAGAGAGAATGATTATACTTACCATCTCTATTACGGTTAGATTGATTGAGGTATATATATAGGAATAGTTTATATTTATGAACTTTTTGTTTATAAATATTTATAAATTACACTATGTATTATGGGTACTACATGCAGTATGTACTACCCATCAGTGGCGGAGCCACATGGTTCTTATATGGTACCTTGGCACCAGCTGATTTTCAAAAATACAATATATTTTCTTTAAAAATTATGGTATAGCTTTGGTATTGGTTAGGTTTTTAAAAATAATACAACATTGGTACTAGTTAGATTTTACTAGTTGAGTCTTTTAGTACTGGTTGAATCTTGTCCCTGACTCCGCCACTGCAACCCGTAGTACATAGTGTAATTTGTAAGGGTTTGTAAACAAGAATTTTGTAAATATAAACCTACTCATATATATATATATATATATATATATATATATATATATATATATATATATGTGTGTGTAACTTCTATTGACCATATCTTTAACTAAGTTTTTCTTTGTGACACTGACCAGGAGCAGGCTAATCCCCCAGAGAATTCCACTGAAGAATCAAATATGTTTGGCAAGTTGAATGGTGAAGAAATCTGCGATAAGGAAGAGCAAGATAAGTTAAAGAATGACGAGAACAGTGAAGACAGTTCAAGACACCTAATTAGACAAGAGGCTACTGCAGAATCCACCACACTAATAAATGAGAGGACAACTATGGAAGTTATGAATGAGAAACCAAGAGACTCAGTGAATGATAAAGTAACATTTTTAATTCTTTAAGATTGATATATTTCTGTAAACTTATATTATATTTTAGCAGATTAGCTAATACACTTGCATTGTGTATTATTTTTAGCATACAGAGCTGGTTGAAGGTGATAAAAGTGACCAACCAGAAAATAGTAACATCCATGAGAACTTGCCACAACCAAGGGTCACTGAGCCAATAATTCCAAGCAAAGAAGCAAATGAGGGTCATGCAGAGGATTCATAAAGTGGTGCACCTTATCAAGTGCTAAAGCCTATACCACTCCTTGGAGTTGCACACCCTTGAAATTCATTGGCAAAAGAAAGTGAAGTTACATTATTTAGTTCTTCTCTCCATCGTTTAATGACTAAGTTTATCATGATGCTGAACTTGCCAAAATGAGAAGACTAATTAACACAAAGCTGAACATACACTATATAATGTGTTCTCCTTGCATGGATGCTGCACATGGGGTTACTTCTCCCCAGACCTTCAGAACATTGTTTTATTAGGCGCACTGCACATACACTATTACATGCACCACCTAGAAAGTTAGGTACAGAAAAAATATATATAGAACTATACAAAGTTTTCATTTCAAGTGGAGATCAAATTCCTTGTATCTCTTCTTTTTCTTTTTCTTTTTTATTTTTTATTTTTACTCTCTTCGTAGCCAGAGATTATCAGAACAAAGAACATAACCAGATCTACAATTTGTAGTCTATAATTCCCCACCTTCTAGTTATCTCCTTAATTTTAACTGTTGCTTTGTGTTCATATATGCTTGGTTTTGTATAAAAAGAATAGTGCTAGCTTATACTTATAACTTTTTTTTCTTACAAATTTGTCTATATATTCCGGGAAATATATACACTCACTAATATATTCTCCGGAATACATAAATATGGTTGAAAGAAAAAAATATTGTAAGTATAATTTTTCTTAAAAAAATATATACATGGCAAGCACAACTGAAAATATTTTTCCTCTTCCTCCTTAGGGAAGGGAAGTATTGATATTGTTATAAATCAAAACTATCATTGAGTTTTAATACTTTGAAGTTTTATGTTTAGTTAGTTGTTGACAATTTATTTATTAAGGATGACAATTGGTAGGGCAACAAATTTTTTTTAGTATATAAAATTAAAATCAAAACAGTATTTTATAAAGATGTTATATGACTCTATTTATAAAATATTTTGAAGTGATCTGTGCAGAGACCAAAATCTCATTACAATTTTGTTTCAAAAATAAAAACTCATTACAATTTTACTCCGAGAGAAATTTAAGGGCATGGTGATTCCACAATGAGTGTGTTTGTAACGAGAAAATTTAAGACTGTTTTAAGTCTTAAAATAAAAAAAAATAAAAAAATTGGTTGGCAAGTTATGATTTGATTTAAAAATTCCCTTGTTTTATTTATGCACATGTAGAAATCCAATAAAAATATATATATCTTAGAGGCTTTTACAATGTCATGAGTTTTTTTTTTTTGGTAATTTAAGGGCGCGTTTGGTGGACAGGATAGGATAAGGGTAGGATATGATATGGGGCTGATAAGGGCAGGATATGAAATAAGGCTGATAAGCCTATATTATGTCCTGTGTTTGATGAGCACCTGATTGGCAATCTGATAAGATTATGTAGAAAAAGAAAAGAGAAAGAAAAAACAAAATATAATGCAATAAATACAAATATATTGGGTAGTGTGGGGATACATTGGGTAGCGTGAGGATCTATTGGGTATCCAATATTGGTATCATATCATATTGAATCCTAACCCAACTCCCCCAATAGGATAAGAAATCATGTATTGGATAGGATAAAATGAGACAATAGAATAAGCTAATCATATCTTATTGACCCACCGAACAAGAGATCAAAGTAGGATATGATAAGTTATCATATCCTATCTTTTTTATCATGTACTCCAAACAGGCCTTAAATTACAAAGTACTTGTGAGGAGAGATGTGAATGCTTATTAAAGATTAATCTTATATTTTTTTTTAATTCTTCATCTGTTATTTGATTACTAGATTATAAAAGGCATATTTTTTAATATTATTTTCTCTATTCTCGCTATTCATTAATCTTACATTTAACAAATTTAACAAAAGTAGAGATACCTTATAATATTTTTCTGAAAAAATCCATTAAAAAAAAATTAAGTTGATTATTTGAATTGATGAGTTTATCATATTAGTTGCTAAATAACATACTATCATATTAGTTTATCATACGAAAGTGATTCTAGTAATGCAATAGCGATGCTCACCAAAGCTAGTGATACTGCTCGTGAGTCTCACTTGGTGACTGGTATACGAACTTGGTTGACCAAATACCAGAGGGTGCAATTTCAACACATCTACAAAGAAGCAAATCAATGTGCTGATTGGTTGGCAAACTTGTCTTTGGATAGACAATTTCAGGATTCTTTCATTCGTTTTTATGATCTCCTCCTAATCTAAATTTCTTTATTCTGGTATATGTTACTGCTATAGGAACCAATAGCGGACCTAGAAATATTTTTTGATGTCTGCATACTTAGAATAAAGGAAAAAAATTTTAAAGAAAATTTTAAATATATTAAAATACAAAAGAATATATATATATATAAAACTTTAACTTAATATAAAAAAAGTAATCAAGAGTCAACTAAACTGTTACAATAAAACATTTTGGGTCCTCAACAAAAATTACGGGCCTCAATTTAATCTCTTAGGGAAAAAAAGTCTACTCGTGATCCCTCAAAATTCAAAAATAGATCCAGAGAATCAAAATAATGGTCCTCTGAAATTTAAAAAGAACCACATTAATCCCTCAAAAGGCTAAAATGGGTCTATTTTGGAATTTAAAAGAATCATGAGTCGACTTTTCTTTTAAGAGATTAAATTGGGTCTTGTAATTTTTGTTAATGACCCAAAATATATTTTATTCTTGTTTTCTTCAAAAAATTTGTGTGTGCACTTGCACACACAAAACAAATCATCTCAGGCTTATTCCAAGGAATGGGGAGGAGAGATTAGTTTGGATCAATAATCATCACTCAACTTCTTTGGTTAAGGTCGCTTACTGTAATCTTATGAACTTCCCAGCAGATGTTCACACTAGCTTATGGAAAAAAGTTTGGTCGTTGAATGGACCAGAACGAGTGAAAGTGTTTATGTGGATGACTTTGCTTGCTAAACTTTCAGTGCGCAGCAGAACCAGTAAGTGGAGCGGAGGTTCAAATGTCTTTCCCAGTTGTCCAAATCATGAGGAAACTATTATTCATGTTCTTCGTGATTGTAGACATGCTAGGAAAATTTGGCAATCTTGGTTTACAGGTTCGATACCCAATTCCTTTATGAATTCGAATTTGCAGGATTGGTTGACTTTAAATATCGATAACATGTGGTCCTCCAATAAAGTGAAGGACTGGAGGGATATTTTCTTTACTACTTGTTGGTTTTTGTGGAAGTGGAGAAATTTGGAGATCCATGAAGATCATTTCTGTCATGATGACAATCGCAGGCTTCAATTTGGATGTTTGTCCAACAGATTCTGCAAGCCCGAATTTATCAGCGCTGTGGTGATTCCAACGATAGCGTTTGGACAGCCCCCAAGCAAGGGTGGGTTAAGTTGAATTGTGATGGAGCTTCTTCTAGTGGCATGAAAAAAGCTAGTTGTGGTGGTATATTAAGAGATCACAATGGATCCTTTTTTGGAAGCTTCTATTGTAATTTAGGTTCATGCAATCCTCTTGATGCAGAATTATGGGGATTACTGAAAGGTTTGGAACTGCTTTGGGGAACAGGATTAAAAAGAATAGAGCTAGAATGTGATTCTAGCCAAGCCATCCAGATGTTAAAGGAGCAGCATGAAGATCCTAGGGACTGTCAAGTCACTAGCAGATTGAGATTATGGTTAAAAGCAGATTGGACTATTCATCTTGTTCATACTAAGAGAGAAAGCAACAAATGTGCTCATTGGTTAGCTAAAGCTGGGCAGACTAATAATCTACATTTCAAGATTTTTAAAGATTCTCCTCCTCAGTTGATGGAACTTATAGTTGCTGATGCTAGAAATATGTCTAGCTTGTTAGTTTCTGATTTATAATTTCTTTCTGTTTCTGGGGCTTAGCCCCTCTTTATTTACAAAAAAAAAAAAAAAAAACATACACAGGTCCACCACTGCTGATAAGAACTGTCCATAGGATTGTTATTTGATCTTGTTTTTCTGTTTTTGTTAGGTCTGTCCCCTTTTGTCTACAAAAAAAAATGACTCAATTCATTTGTAATATATTTTAAGGGAAAAATCATATTTACAAACTTTTTTTTACAAACTCTTACAAACTACACTATGTCTGACCAGTCATACTTTAATCAAGAGTGTATGAATGGTCATACTTAGTGTAATTTGTAAAAAAATAGTTTGTAAACGGATCATTCTTCATATTTTAAATATGAAACTTAATTTACAAATAAATGAGTCATTTATTAATAATGCAATTGAAGATAAGATAACAATGGAGATAAGTAAAGTCATTCTGCTTACCAAAAAAAAAAGTAAAGTCATTCTATAGGTAATTTTCAAAGATAATTTATTTCTGAAGTGAGTTATTGAATTTATATCTACGATAGATTTAATTTAAAATTTATCAAAATATTTAACCAATTAAAATTGAAAAATATATAGAGTCCATTTTAGAGATAAATCTACTTTAAAAGAGTTTTTTATATCAAAAAAACTTCTACACATCAAATAAAAAGGGATACCTTTGGGAACAAAATTTTGTTATTTCATTTTTTTCAAAGCATCTCTATTCTTTTTAGGTAATTCCCCTTCAAACACAAAAATATTGGGGTGTATTCTTCCATTAATGTTTGGTGGCTAAATATGCACCACATTTATGGATGCATGGCTCAATATGTGAACAATCATTTCAATAAATACTACATATCTCCATTATTAGAGAAGATACTAGAAGAAGGGGGAGGGCCTCACCTTGCCTACATTGTGCCTGTTTGGGAGGTCTCTTTTTATCTTCTCTTCAACGTATAAGTAGAAGTTGGGTTAAATAGATTTTTATAAAAGCTCTCATAATAAAAATAATTTTTTTTATAATAAAGAAAAAAGCCAAAAGCTCTTAGGAAGAGCTTTTTTTAAATTGTTTCAGTTTTTTTTTTAAATGTTGCTATTTTTGAAATGAACAGCCAAAAAATTTACATAATCATCAAATAGCTTGTAGCTTTTTTTTTTAGCT